TCCCTGACCCATGATGTTTCATAAAGGGTCCCCAAAATTGGACATCCAAACACTCATAGATTTCCTACGCGGCCCAATATACACGGCCCTATATACACTTACTTAACAAAACCCATCATGAAAACCCCACTTCCCCTGGCGAAAAAACTCTGGGCCATAGAGACTGTGCTTTGAGTCTGGCAGAGGCCTGCGTGCCCTGCGCGGCACCTAGTTGGCAATGCTTCACTTCACTAGGTCAGAATGGGGTTCAGGCTTTAGGGGTTTAGAGTTTCGGGGTTTAGGGGGCTTAAGGTGAAGAGGTTTAGGGTTTAAAGGGGCTTACCTAGGGATTTAAATCGACTGTAGGGGCTTAGGGTTTTGCGGTTTTGTCTGGGTTTAAGGGGCATTGGGCTTAAGGCAGGCTTGCCAGCCGGCCGATTGAGACCAACACCCCCTGCGACTGACATCTCCATCTGCAAGGGTTTAGGGGTTGGGGTTGCGATGCACAAGATCACAATGCACCCTCTCACACTAACATGCAAACCTCGCCCCAATGTTACATATGCCTTTCTGCTACGCTATGAATAAGTGGAGTTGAACTTTATGTAGGCGGGGTGGTACGTGAAATATTAGCGGCAGGCAACTGCACAAAACTTCAACGATGGAGATCTAACATTGGCAGGAGAAAAAAATCAAGCCTTTGAAGAGGTCAGAGGCCTGCGGTAAGTTTCGAAGGCTGAGGATGGGCATGGCCGATGCTCTATGTATGGGCCGAAGTATAGAAGATTAGAAGATTGCGTCTCACTCCCTAACTAAGGCTTTGGGGTCTTGGGGTCAGGGCTTCACGGTTTGGAGGCTTAGGGTTGAGGGCTTACAGTATTGCTATTTCATCTGCAGAGACCCGAACTGGCAAATGAAGCGCAAGCCGTCCAGCGGAAAAGTACTTTTCCGTGCAAACAGCTGGGTAAGATCATGCTACTCTTCAAATCAAACTTTTGCTGCAAACACAGATCCTATCCTCAGGTAATCCACTTAAAATCCATTTTCAAACCTCTGTAAAAAGCTGCCGCCACTTTTTGAGTAGCCTTCGAACACCCAGTTTGCGCCCATCTGGTTGAAACATCAGCTGAGAGGGAAACTTCCATCGCTTCATGGCGCTTTTTAGGGTTTGGGGTCTAAGGTTAAAGTTTAGGGCTCAGGGAAAAAGATTGTGGATCTTGACATTTCTAGTCGTGTCGGCTCTACTCCGGCAACTTCCGCCACGACACCACGCTCAAACCGAAACTCTCATCGCTGGCCCCTAAACTCTAAAACCCTAAACCCAATTTACTAGACTCTAAAAGCCTGACACCAAAACTGCAGAATATAAACCTCAAAAACCAGGCGGCGCGGAGCTGTTGACACAAGTTTCCTGTATAATCTCGTAGCTATCCCAAAGACCTGCATAGCACCTGCAAAAAAAAATCATATACAACACCCATACTGCCTGTGTACCATATGGGCTACCCACATAACCCAACAAAACCAAAACAACCAGAAACACTGCATACACACTCAAGGCAAATCATCCCAAAATTGAACCCTAAACCCTGAACCTAAATCCTACATCCGTGGGCTGACATGGCCCTGGTGATCTGAGGGTCACGCCGGCTTGCTCCTGAGGCATCTTGCAAGTTTCAACGCAAAAGAACGACCAACGCGGCGGTTTCCCAAAACTTGGGGTACCTTTAAAGGTGTTTATAGGGGATATATAAGGTCATATAGGGATATATGGGCTTTAGGCTTGGCTTTAAAAAATCAAGGGTACCTTGTTGTGGTCCTCAGAATACGGATTAATTAAAGAATTCTGGGGTCTATATTGCCGTCTCCCTAATTGAATCAATCTACCATGCGTTTTGGTGGCATTACATCCTCCTTCTTCTCTGCCCATGGCACGTCGAACTGATAGGAATACCACGGATCAGTAGAGAGATAGACCTGAAAAAATGCACTCGCTGCCATACTTTTGGAGCACGGCGCTGCGCTAGCAGCACGAGGCTTGGCTGAAGGACCGTACTTGACCATAATTCTCTATTTGCAACCATGGCCTCTCCTAACAGGAAATCTCACCAAATGGCACAGCATCCTCTGAAAACAATCTCATTCCGAGCGAGGGTCGCGCGGTGCCTCACAAGCCCCCTCAGTTTGAAAAACAAACTGACGCAGAATCAGCAAAAACGTGCCTGCATGCCGGACCCTTGACCCCGAACCCTGAACAATATACTCTCAACCCTTACCTAAACCCCCAAAATATGTAAAGTAAGAGCCCTAAACCCATAATAACAGCCAAAGACCATTATTTTACATAATTTTGGGGTCCAGGTATAAGCAACAATGACAGAACTGGAGCCATCCCAGGAACTGGCCCAAACCTCTCGTGGGGAAGCTCCTGAATATAAAATCTGTACGAAAACATGATACTTCCCCAACCTAAACCCTAGACTCTAGACCGCCTCATTCGATAAGAAGATTAGACGATCTTCAAAGTGACTGAAGGCGGAGACTGTTTACGGAGAAATTGTTGTGCAATGCAAGGACCGGGTATTGTCGCAGTTTAGGGCTTCGGGTTGAGGGTTTAGCGGCGCGTTGAAGATTTAGGGTGTACGTCAGTCTCTGACGGCTAACGATCTTAGATACGAGATCCCGGCTTAAACATGAGGTTTAACGTAGTGGCCTCGTTATTTACCAATATCAGCTTGAGGGCTGTTTAAGATACCCTATACCATAATTGTACAAGGAACCTAACTCGGCCTAAGACCGTAGTAAAGTGAGGGACCCCTCGATAACATTCATGTCTGTGTCCCTGAGCGTCCTCAATCGGCGTGTACAACACGTATTCGCCTGAGCTTCCGCGCAGTTTGTAAGAGGTGTTCTACCCATTTCCTTGCCCTGCCTTCCCTGACCTGCCCCAAGCCACCAATACGGGCTAGTTCTTGCACTTGTGGTTCTTACCCCCAATCCTGCGATTGGATCATACTTGACCATCTGGTCAAAACCTGCCAGTTCACAAGTCCTGCAAAATCCCGAGCGATCCAAGCATGCAAATAGTACCTACATTGGGCCATTAGTTAAGTCTATAGATATTACCCTCAAACCTAAATCTTTCATAGGCCCACTTGGAATGCCAGGGAATGTCTGAGGAGAGGAAGGCAGGGCTCCAGTTAATCACCGGAGAGTCAACTCTGGGTCCTACATTTCCGGGCCCAATGTTTTGGGGGCTTAATTTAGGGCTTAGGGTTTAGGGTTTAGGGTTTAGGGTTTAGGTTATACCTGTAATCCACCTTCCCTGTAGTTTGATGGTCCATACCTGCTACTTAAGGGGTATAACTGGTGCTGAATTGTAGGTAATTGGAGTCGCAGGTACGGACTCCACTGTGTAACCCTAACATCATTCAAAGCAAGTGAACCGTGTGTACTGCGACTGTACATGGAGCGGCTTCGAGTTCAGCATCGGGTGGGCCTTCGGGGCTTGATGGATCATGGATGAATCTGGAGCGCCCCTTATTAGGGTTTAGGGTTTAGGGTATACCGTACAAGTAGATAAACCCATTCAGCTTATGCCTCCTAAAGCTTCACGCTGAGCACCATCTGAAAAGCAAATTCCTGAAACAAAGGCGCCAAAACCTAGCCCCTATAGAGCGTATGCGCGTCACCACCCCGCAACGGAGGACTCCCCCAGTTGGACTCATCCCCTAATGGGGTCAATGGAGGTAAAAATTGTCATGCACTACTACTTGGGGATAACGGAGAATAGTATGGAAACTACTACAATCAGCTTATAAGGGTTTAGGGTTTATCCCCTAACGGGGTCAAGGGCTTGTTGGATTGGCATGAATGAGAGAGATTCTTGCGCAATAGCCCCCGGACCCCAGGAAACCAAAACCCTACACCCAATGCCCCAATCTGTATGGGATCCACTGAGCCCGGTGCATCCCTTCGCGCCCTCGATGGCAAACTCGTTGGGATAATTCGCAAGAAAATGCTTCAAACCTGCCGGTTTTAAGTTTTCCTGTCACCCTAAAATTACGTATAGATGTCTGGGTCATATCCACTATCTACTGATTACAAGGCGTAAGTAGCACGAAACTGTGGGCATTGGGGTTACAGGTTAGGGAGTACAGGGTTTAGGGCTTCGGATTCGGCTTCCGGGGCTTCATTGTTTGGATTAAGGGTGAGTCACAAAAAGCATACAAGAGGACTGCATTCCCCCGGTCTGGGCTTTGAGGCCTTTTGGGGCTCATCACCCTCGACCCGACATTAAGCATGGACCAACAAAAATCCTCAGATCTACCTCCATTGTAAATGCAGCTATTGCATTTGTCCATGGTCCTTTGACCTTGGGGGTAGCATGGAATTTGTACACTCTAGACCTCACGGCATAGTTAGCGCTGTCGCAAACAAAACTTGCACCTCAGAGGACAATTGCTGACTGGGGCTCAGTAAGGAAAAAGGGAACATTTGTATGAGGATTACATAGGGATTCCTTATTCCCTGCTAAGAAATAATGAGATTGGAGCCACGGGGCTGTGGGTGGGATGTCGTGGACTCCTCCAAATGGACCCTTTTTTTGCAACATCCAGGGAGGTGTTGGTGCTTTGTTCTTCGCAAGTTTGGGGATCCGGTTCAGTCTTTATGCGTCATGTGGGGCTCCTCTGTTTCTTGAAGCAGCGCATGATTTAACAAGTATAGTAGGAATCATCAGGACCTGCAGCAAGTTCTTAGATCCCAAGCCTCTGAGCACTGCGCGCCCAATCATCTGGCACCCTCATCCACAGAATAGAACCGAACAAGCAAAAAAAAAACAGACATCGCGCTTCACCCCGAAACTAAGCCAACCAATTACTTCACTAACCTAGCAGCTCCAAGCCCTGCCAAAGAATACCGCGCCCTGCACATTTTGGATGGTACTGCGCAAAGCTCTTTTTCTACTCTGCTAGGCATGGAGCAGACTCTGCCTTCATGCCATTTCAAAAAGTTACATGTCAGCAGGATTCCGCGAGCAACTGTGCAATGTGAAAATGGCCCTTTGCGGATGCTGTCATGAGAGCTGTCTTGTTGTTTGCAGTCCGGTCCATGTTAGCGCGGGCTTCGACCAGCAGCCGCACGACCTCCATATGGCCCTTCTCGGATGCACTCATGAGGGCCGTTCTCTGCTTTGAGTCAGTCAGCTCCATGTCAGCCCTGGCCCGAAGAAGCAACCTCACAACCTCCACGTTGCCCCTGGAAGATTCGCCAGTGAGTTCGTCTGCCACCTCCTTCTGCGATGCATTGGAGGCAAGCCGCAACACCAGCTGAAGGTTGCTTGGAGTCTTCAGCTGACAGGCATCATGCAACTTGCTGCCGTCCTTGAAGAGCTCTTGCAGGCAGACAGGAAAGTCGTAAAGCCAGCGAAGATGGTGCTTAAAGCTTTCCCCGGTCCTGACATTAGGGAACTTCCCGACATCCACCGGGGCAAGCTCTTCCCCTGAAAGCATCCACACGCGTATCATGTCTGAAGCAGAGAGTTTAAATCACGTTGTCTTTCCTGAAGGTGAGCCAGAATGGCGCGGGAATGGTGTTGCAGAGGCCCGACCAAGGATTGAGATCATTTCTCTGTTCATTCTATGCATATGGTAGTTTCCATAAATAGGGAGGGAACCCAAAATAGACGGCAAACTCTATAGCCTTTATTACGTATTGTGGGACCCCCCAACTTGTACGCTTAGTTTTGGGAAAACCCTAAACCCTAAACCCTATATATCATCTCAAAGGGCCCTCTCGGGCCGCGCCACACCCGTTGCCCTCCAGCCCTCTGCGGACTCAAAAGCAAAGGACAGCAATGAGAATCTACTACGTTTTAAGGCTGGTACACCACTCGCTGGCGCTTTGAAAGGAACAAGGGAATATACTATATAGCAATTCCATAGGGAGTTTATTCCCGTATTCCCTACTGACCCCCAGTACGACAATGCGAGGATTTCGAGGACTAAGGAAAGCACCAGTCTTACCCTACCGGACTAAGTTCGCCCATGTTGTGGCTGCAGGTGATAACAGACTGGTCAGGGTGTTGAGGGTTTTATGGTGTTTAGGATTTAGGGTGTATAGTCTTCGGGATTTGGAGACCAAAGCCGCCATATTTTGGCACTGTTGGGGACATTTCGTGGCATGCAATGCACCAATCATCATCTGCAGCAACAGGAAACGTAAGCTAATGATTGCCTTCTTCCTGACATCTGATTAACATGGACCCCAAATCCTTGCGCACACTTTCCCGCTACTGCGAGATCCATGCGTAAAAACGGATGTAGGCCCCAACAACTGCTTCGGGGAGTACGCTCAGCCGCATGTTGCCTGCAAACATCCAAACATCCAATGAACAACACAATTAAAATGTAGTCATCCTCATGCTGAGCTGTCTTGTCCCCGCGCTTCAATGGGGCGCCAGCAGCGCCGCTGACGAAATCAGAAACAGCACATACCAATCAACCCTGGCACCGAACGCTAAACCGTGAGTTGAAACACACGAAAACCTATAACCCCTATATAACCCCCTATACTTTAGTAGTTTCCATTTTATTTGCCATTATCCCTATATGACCCTATATCACCCCAATGTATACCCTTGGAATTCTGCCATGCGCAAGTTGCCTGTCATCAAAATCTTTACAAAACCAGTTCACTACCTGAGGCCCAATATTCCTGAAAATAACCAAACAAGCATTTGTTCTTAAGGGTTTAGGGTTTACCTGAACCCCAAAAAAGTAGATGAAATAATAGCCCAACACCCCTAAAATAGCTTCCAGCACCATTATTCTACATATTTTTGGGGTTCAGGGTTTAAGGTGTTGGCATACTTACAAGGTCCAGGATTTCCCTCCGAAGCGGGCCTTGATCGGCTGTGTGCTTTAGGAACGTTCGCGCGCCTGTGGGGTGACTCGCGCAGAGGACACCGCTGAGCGTGGGTTTAGGGTTTAAGGACTGCCTGTAACCCGAAATACCTACGGCTTAGTAGCAATTACCCTAAACCCTAAAGCCTTGTTGGTATAGCTCACAAAGCTGTACGTAGTCGCGCTTACAAGTGGGGCTTGGGGTCATACCTAGATCCTGCATGTTGGTGGCCTCTCGTTTGAAAGCAAGACATCCAAGAAATTAAGCTCCTGATAACCATGGGCTTAACACTGAAAAGAAAGAGTACACCACAATCATCATCTTCTGTGTCAACTGGGGAGTTCATTGTCGAAGCTTCTTTCTCAGGATTCGACGCAGACCTACCGTCAACAAACTTTTACAACTGTCCCTAACTGATCTCCTCACCCTCATGATAAGCCCACGCACCCTCACTAATCATAAAAGTCCCCAGATTACTAGGCAACGGTGGGCAGGGAGTGATTTCAGGGGGAGGGGATTATGTGCCGAAGTTAGGATGCCGGTGCGTAGGTGCAGCCCCAATAACCTGCAGCATAGTAGCAATTACCCTCCCCCTTCCGAATTGATGGGCATGAACTGTAGGTAACTGGTGTTACAAATAAACCCTGAATTTTAAACATTACAGTAGCTTCCATTGTCCTTTCCACTACACAAACCCTACATCCTAAACCCTGTATGACCCTTCAGCGGACCCTAATAACTGGGGTTACAGGTACAGCTTGGGGATTGAAAGCACGCAAGGTCCCACCTGGCACCGCTCCCTGGTCATCTCCAAGACCGCTTAAGGTTCAGGATGTAGGCTTCAGGGCTGAGGGTTTAGGGTTCTGGTTTAGGATTTAAGGTGTAGGGTTTCAACCCTACTTGGAGGTTCAGGGCAGTTATCACCCTGTTAGGATGGCACTCTCCACCCAACTCTCAACCCCCTTAAGTCCCCAGTACGATTATAATTGGGGTTTTAGGTGCGAGTTATAACCGGGTCAAGATCACCCTGTACCCAAGTAGACTCCAAGCACGAAGCTGTCAACCCTTAACCTTAAACACCTAAACTCTAAACCTTAAACCTCTATCCCTAAACGCGCTGGGACAAGGAAGCCGGCAGCTTACGCCCAGAGATCGCGCCAACACAAAGGCGCCCATTTTGCTTCTGCGCTGCAACGCGCATCTTCCTGCGAACCCCAAGCAGGTTTTAGGATGCTCAAGAGGTGGGATGAAGGCAGGTGGGTTAAAGGATCCTTCGTATATACTCTACTATATCGGGGCTTATTTCCTATACCTCGCCTTCCTTCATCTCACCTTTTGAGCCCTTTGAGGGTTGCAGTCTGGGTTGCTGTTTACGGTTTAGGGTTTAGGGCTATGTTATCCCCCTATACTGGAGAACCAAATGGAAAATAACAGGAAACTGGAGGAATATAGGTATTTAAGGAACGTAACTAAGTTACTATGTAGGGGGGAACCACAGTCATTACTGTATATGTATATATATGTGTGTGTGTATATAATCCCATTACGGTAACTTAGCTTAAGTTCCTTAACAGCAACCCAGTACCGTACCCATGGCATCCTAAACCAGGAATTCTTTGAGGTTCATCCTGTATGGACGGCGTGGGTCCCCCTTAGAAATTCCTGATTTTGCTTTCCCCGGCATAGGACCAGCAGCCCTCACATAGCAATAGTCCAAGAATCTTGAATACATCACGCTTGCCTTTACATGTGATGGCTTGTGCTGCGGTGCCCAACCCCATGTACATTGCAGCCTTGCGTCAGGCCCGCAAAATTCGGATGCACTCATACTCACCGGCCACGCAGCAAAGCCTATGTGTCTTGACCTAACCAAGCACCTATCAAGTGCCTATCAAGCCCTTCATTTGCCGGCGTCTTCAGAAATAGCTGAGGGACGCTTCTTTGCGACTAGGGCTGCTGTCGTAGGGTTGTGTAGCAATTTAAGCCCTATTATATACTATATACCCATAACATGGTAACCTAAATTAAGAATCAGAGCAGCAACCCATCAAATCATGTGCTTCAAGTCCCGGAAACTTTGCAGGACTGGCTGCCGGGATTTGCCGAAAATCTGGGTTGCTGCCAAGAAACTTGAACTAAGTCAAACTAATTCTCTCATGTTACGTAAATCACAGGGTTTCCTTATCATGGTAACTTAGCTTGCTACAGGGGCCTAAATGATTACCAATATCATGTCGAGATCCATTTGAGGTACCATAAACCATAAGCATATGTGGAGTATGGAACCATAATATTGGTAATTATTCAGGCCCCTACATCCTATTAAGCCCTATTATAATATGGTATTTTCCATTGTCTTTTCCATTTATCCCAATATAACCCCAATATTTATGCCCCTATATTGAGCTCATTAACAGCAACCCAGAAATTTTGGCCAAGGAACCTAAACCCTAAACCCTAAGCCCTAAACCCTGAACCCTAAACCCTAAACCCAGAAATTTTGGCCAAGGAAGGGAGCTCTTCTTCCCACTCACCACTTGAAGATGGATTCTCTTTGAGGCTTAAGGTGCTTAACCCTAGGTTTATTTTTTTAGGGTTTAGGGTTTAGGGTTTTTTTAAGGTTTAGGGTTTAGGGTTGAGATTTAGGGTTTGCTTTTTTTTTAGGGTTTAGGGTTTAGGGTTGAGATTTAGGGTTTATGGTTTTTTTAGGG